AATTATAACCTCACTTTTGAGTTTTTTCTTTAAATCTCATGAAAGCGACATTTTCTTCTTGTTTTTTCACATGATATCTCTCACAGCTCAATGGCCCATCTTTTAATAACATAATAGTAATTATAGCTAGTAAAGTAGCTTAAATTGTTAAAAGGCTGTGACTAAATTATTTTCTACTAAAAGCATGTCATATATTAATGCAAAAGAGTTTATTTGGACATTGTACATTGCTTAACTATGTACAACTAGGTCTTTGTGTTTCCTTACCATGTTTATTTCATGTGCTAAATCCACCTTTTTTTTTAATCTTTTGCTCGATGGGGGAACACGTGGGGTAGTTAGTGTAATAATTACATGCATTTGGTCTTTGCTTTTCCCAAATACCCTTTTGAATTTGATCCGAGGGTGGAATTCATTTTCTTACCCTTTTGACTTTGTCAAGTGCATTTTACCGTCAAAATGATTAAACAAGAAAAAAATTGAGACTTTGTTTTTAGTTTGCCTTTAATTCCTCGTAGTCTAATAAAAATCTCAAATTCAATTTTCATAAAAAAAAAAACAATAAAGTTTTATTAGAGCATATGTTAATGTTGGTATTTCTCGATAGTCAAGAGTGAATGCATTTAACCAAGGTGATTGGTGTGAGTGGTTCGGCACTTTCATTCCTTAAGAGAGGTCAAAGATTCGATCCCTTCTCTCGTACGGAGTCACCACTTTGGCCAGTACTTTACCCTTTACGGGCCGACCCGGTGTGAGCGGGAATTAGTTTGGGTTGTGGTTAACGCTTAAAGGTGCCACCCATATTTGGAGCCCATTCAGAACCACCTTGTGGTTCAAACCAAAAAAAAGAGTGAATGCATTTATATTATTTAATTTGTAATTGGAGTAAACGTTTTTACTGGACGGAAAGTGCTATGCGACCTACCCACCCAAACCCCAAACGAGATAAACAATACGGCAAAATGACCAATTAAATAAATGCCTTGGACTAATATTTTTTTAAGTTAAATCAGCTAACCCATTCAATTGAGACTTTGTTTTTAGTTTGCCTTTAATTCCTCGTAGTCTAATAAAAATCTCAAATTCAATTTTCATAAAGAAAAAAACAATAAAGTTTTATTAGAGCATATGTTAATGTTGGTATTTCTCGATAGTCAAGAGTGAATGCATTTAACCAAGGTGGTTGGTGTGAGTGGTTCGGCACTTTCATTCCTTAAGAGAAGTCAAAGATTCGATCCCTACTCTCGTACGGAGTCACCACTTTGGCCAGTACTTTACCCTTTACGGGCCGACCCGGTGTGAGCGGGAATTAGTTTGGGTTGTGGTTAACGCTTAAAGGTGCCACCCATATTTGGAGCCCATTCAGAACCACCTTGTGGTTCAAACCAAAAAAAAGAGTGAATGCATTTATATTATTTAATTTGTAATTGGAGTAAACGTTTTTACTGGACGGAAAGTGCTATGCGACCTACCCACCCAAACCCCAAACGAGATAAACAATACGGCAAAATGACCAATTAAATAAATGCCTTGGACTAATATTTTTTTAAGTTAAATCAGCTAACCCATTCAAGTGGTTTAGAGCTCTTCAATACTGAGTAATTTTCGGAGAAGAATGCGATAGAATTTTATTAGATTAATAAGAAAAAAAAGGTATAAATAACACAAATTGTAAATAGAATCATCTCAATAGCAATATTGCATACATACATGTGATGTTATATCCACTACTGTTATAAAGTATGAATAGGTCATCTTCATATTATAACACGTGAAATAATTATAATTTTTTACAATATTTCAGTAACATAGAATAATTTCATTTCTTCAAAAATCATGCACGTTTGGAAATGATATGGTGGGCTCCACATATACATTTGAGATTTGTTGAGTGTTTATAAATTCCATGTTATGATAAAAGGTTACTAATATTGCGATGACTTAAAAAAGTCCAAGATCAAATGACAAATCCACACGTGGTACAATTTTGATCCATACATAAATTTTTGGATTGAAGCCAAGCTTAGCAGTGCCTAGACAATGACTAATCATTCACGTGTTTTTTAAGGTTTATATAACATTAGTGTAATCCAGTGGTTTCCATGTTGTGTGAGTTTAAGCTTTTTATTTATTTTATTTTATTTTACTTATTTTTCCTGAAATTTGAGAAACATGCCAATAAATACATGGGACCACAAACAAATGCAAAATTATTGTAAATTGGATTATTCACAACCCCCATGAAATAAAACCAAAGCACCTTTGAGTGTTTGGTGGAGTGGAGCCATTACCTTTGCCATTTCCCCTCCCTACTCATGCTATCTATACATTGATTGCAAAAATGTCTTTATCTTATCTAATATTTTCCCAATTAAACTTATGATCGAACATGAAAAAAAAAAAACAAACAAAACAAAAGGATTGGGAGGTTAAATAGCGAGGAAGGGTACACCACATGCATGGTGTACCATCCAATACATATAGGCCACGTAGAATTATTATCCAACTTATTGCATTGCTTTTTATGACATGTGGCTGGCTGCATTTGAAATATTCTACATATCTTATGTCTATTGGATTGTACATCAGCCACATGGTATAACTGGAACACCCAAAAATTACTCGAGGTAATCAGTGGCGAACCCAGACTTTTGCCCATCTAGGGGCGTAAAAAACAATTTCATAGCTGACTCCTACAAAGTCTAGGTTTTCATAGCAATACGATATATATTATAACACATAATCTATTTCAATAATTTTTTTAATATATGATTTTGGGCCAAAATCTAAGGCTTTATATATATGGACCACATATTTATCAAGCCTTGGGTCTTGATATTTTCAATGTAGGAGAGGTTTTGGGCTACAACCTTGAAGGTTTTACTTATTTAGGGTGCTAAGTGGGGATTTTGCATGCAAAATATTAGCCAAGTGTTTTATTTTTATTGGCAAAGTGTTTGGCTAGATGGATGAAGAAAACACTTGAGTGTGGGCAGCTGCCCACAGTAGGCATGTATTGGGTCATCCAATGTTTTTAAAAAAGAAAAAAGAAAAAGAGGATTGAGAGATGATAGATATGAAAATAGTTGTGAAAATTTATAAAGCTAATTAGTAATTGCATAGACTTTTCCTTCAATCAAAAGTTTTGAATCTTTATTTATTTATTTAAAAAACATGTTACTTTATACGACAATAAATTTAATATTTTATGTTTTTTTTTTTGGTCAAGCATAAATTATTAGTACCAAACTTTCGTGGACATTATACTTTATGATGATTTTCATGACTTTTTAATTAGGCCTCTTTTTTTCGTTTATGAGTTTTATTTCGGAAATATATGACAATAAGTTGGAAGAATAATTCTACACCTTTGCTATATTTAAGCCCACAAACCCAATGCGAACCCAAGGCCCATATTTAATCTACGCCGTATGAGTGTAAATATACGATGAAATTGTGTTTATACGTACAGAGAAAAAATACGAACGGGAAAACGTATCTGAACCGTCCACCGACTCCTGGGATGGGATGGACCCTGGATGGATGGGGATCTGTGTAAAATCATGCGGGTCCCACGTGAATAAAGGACTGCAATGAATGTACGTTTCACTTTTTTCTGTGGTGCTTTTACTGCTGCATCTTCTTATTTTATTCTTTTATTTTTCAAACTAAACATAGTAAATGACGTAATACCAAATTACTTAACAACAAATAAATAATAATAAAAAAAGCACACGTGTGGCTTTCTTTTTTTATTTTTTTATTTTTAATAAGGGCTAATTGTATGTAATTACAAAGCCCTATATCCTCGAAGTTTCCTACTTACCCAACAAAAAATAAATTAAGAAAAATGTTTTTATATTTTTGAAAAAAAAAAGATTATATATCACGCTAGCTACCTCCACAAGTTCCAAAAAATTCCAAGTGTAAGGAATAAACAAATATATGATATTTAAAAAAATATATTTATTATAATAATGTGTTTTTAAATTACCTTTTTCTTCTCCTCGGTAAACGCTATAAGTAGATATGTTCACGTGGACACAGTGTTGGCCCGTTGGGGGTATTTGCGTCACTCTCCGAAATTTTATATTCAATTGTTCGGTGAATTTAATTTTTTTTAAAATGGAATTAAAAGTTAATTCCAATATTCAATATCTAGTTGCTTCAATTAAGGAAGGCAATGAAGTGAAGTGGGTACTAAACAAGCTCTTCCAAAAGAGAAAAAAACTCTAATGATTAAATATTGAGACAACAATCAAGAATTTTGATGTGCTTCCTGTCCACATACATTTTTTCTTTTGTCTTGGTGACTTGGCCAATTTGCTCTCCATTCTATTTGATTGATTTTTACAAATGCTTATTCAAGCATTTAGGACTGGCAAGTTATATTATTATATCGTTTTTTTTTTTTATACTAACGATATTGAGGGATAAGAATCGAATCTGGGACTTCATATACATAAATAAATGCTCTTAACCACATATAACATTAACATGTTGTGTTGTGCTGTCTATATACTTTTTTTTATATCTGCAAATAAAAATTAGGTCATTTGACAAATACAATGTATTTGTCCCTTTACATTCAACTTCGATCCGTTTTTTATGTGCCTATTTATCCTCCAATTTTCAAAACCAAAACCTAAACTAAACCCATTACCCCCTCAATTAACACGTGTTATGTTTCTAGATGAGTTTTCTTTTTATTGGCTTCTTCCTTCAAAATTAACACATGGTTGAGCCCTAGCCCTAGGTCATTTAATTCCCACTCCTATTATTCTCTAGCTCTCTTGGTCTCTTTCTTCTCAATCCTCAATTAACAGATGTGATTAAAGTTCTCACAAAATGTACAAAATTGCAAATTTTGGACTAATTAGCTTGGACTCATCTACTAATTTTTGGACTAATTGCAATTTCTTTTAATTTCCATGTAAAATGCATGGAGAATCAAAGAAACTTTATGTCTCATTTTGAAAGTTCGTCTTAGCCCTCGAAATCTCCGGACTGATCCTTTAAAAAATTTCTTAACAAAATTCGCACTGAATGTCACTGGACTAAATGATGAAATTTGAATAAGCACAATTTCAAACTCAGTATGTTTCTAGTTCCCTCCATTTCCCCTGGTGTTCTCTATCAATTAGCAATTAGCGCAGTTTAGGCTATAAATCCACATCTCTATAAATAGTTCGCTAATCACTTTTCATTAAGCCAAACAGACCATTTCTTCCATTTTAGCCTTTTCCAAGCTTAAAATTACACACACAAATCCACTCATCTACTGTTCAATGTCGTCTTCTTCACCATCGCAGCCGGATCTTCAGCTCCAACTTCAACCGGAGACCGAGTCTCAGATGTCATCTATCGTCTACGGTTAGTTCATTCCTCCCTCGCACAATTTCATTGTCATTTGCGATTCCTTAGAGCGGTTTGGTTTGAGGTTTTGAGATTTTTGAGCGCCGATGAAAACTATTTGATTTGAAGAAAATTTGGATCAAATCGTGCAGAGATTTCACAACAAGTCCAGGGCGCAATGGAGAACATGTTGAAGATGATGAGGTTAGTTTTCAAACGCTTTTCAATTTTGATTTTAATTTCAAGGAGCTGTTTGATCGCTCTGCATATTATGAAGTTCTGATGGCGATCTGTTTTTTTTTCTTTTTGTAGCGAAATTGATGAGAACTCTGGCGGAATAACCGAAGAGATAGAGAAGTGCAAAGAGCAGGGTCTTGAGAAGAAGAGAGGCTTAGAGGAAGCCAAAGAACAAGTTGAGAAAGCTGCTTATGCCGTTTTAGAGATGCTCAACAACAGAGCATAGAATGTAGGTGCTGTAAGTTCTTCTTCCAATCTTCGTCTTTGACATGAGTTACGCTATAGAATTTCATTGATAAGGTGACTGAAACTGATTAGTGATCATTCATACATCATTTTCATGTTCATGTTCAAAAGATAAACAAGTGATCGTTGTCTCTTAATGCGTCTAATTCTTCGACCTGTGAGCCGTCCGAATCATTGAACTCTCTAGCCTTCTAGGGGTTGATTTTAGATTCTCATTAGTTCAAATTTGTAATAGCCACTTATCATCCAAGACCATCTTACAGTATTTTGGAATTGGTTAGCTTAGTCTTCAACAAATCTCTTGGTATTGTTTTAGAAAAGAAGCATTAGTAAAAGAAGAGTTTTTTAGAGGTATTTGGTATTACCTGCTAATCTCAGAAGGTCTTCCATTGATTCAGGCAAATGAATGAGTTTTCCATTCGTGTCACCTGCATCTGGATGATGTCCATGAATTATCACTCTTAGGGTGATTGCCCCTAGAGTAGAAGTTTTGTTTGTTTCTGTACAAAGGATAGCAAACCTATTAATATATACAATGATTGAATTTAATAGTAAGTGAACATGGCACAAATTCTATTACCTTCCATATTTGCATCTCCATGGAAATTCACCAGCTCATTATATTGAGCATTCTCATTTGGTTGTATATGCTGCAAAGAAAATGTAGTCATCATCATTAGCATGAACTGAAACTACTCAGTACTGGCTTTTACATTGGTGAGAATTAATAATATTTTCTTCGATAAACAAATACCTTGTGAAATACAATTCAAGCTAAGGAAAAGCAAGATCAGTAGACTTAGATTTACAGTCCAAGTATTCTGTTAAAAAGGGAGATGTGTACCTCTATATTCAGTTCATCCAGCAATTCTGTTAGAAATGGGATTTCTTGTAGCATCTCTTGTTTTAAGTCTTTCAAGTGCTGAGAAGAAAAGAGTCAGTGTAAACAAATGCCTATGCATGATAGGGTTAGTTATATATCTTAAAAGAATGAAATGAGAGCAATGGATATTCAGGTTACAATACAAAGCTACATTTGCTAGCTGATATACTTAAGTTATAAGGTGGTATTGTTTAAGAAATTTCTAAAAGGTTGTATAACAATGTTCTGATAATAATGAGGGGACAAATGAGATAAATAATGTTACGAACCTGAATGAAGTTTTTGATCATTATCATTCCGTCTTCATTCTGTGGCTGTACCATTTCCTTGAAATGATGATGGCTTATCCGGATAACCTGAGAAAGCTTTTTTGTTCTCACCGTAAAAGGTTGGGGGGTATTGAAAAATACTCCAATCTCTCCTACCAAGTCTGCAGATCCTAGTTTTGACAAAAACTGAAAAATACAAGCTAGTTTAATCAGGAAAATATATATAAGAAAAGGGTTCAGATAATTAATTCTGCGCATCTGCTTCTCACTGTCAACATTGTTGTAGTAGCTTGTCTCTGTGATAGAACCCTTAAATCTTCCGAGAGTTGATTCATACGTCACCAGTTAGTTTGTTTTACATGTTAGGAATCTCCCAATTGACATTCTTTTTTCCCTTAAAGGTGGGAGAAGAGATAGATATTTCATGGTTTCTGCTTTACCATACCTGTGATTCTGTATTTCAACTCCATATGTATGCCATCCTTTTAATTGTAGAGGAAGTCTGATACCATTTTTAAATGACAACAATCTCCTTTCCTGAATATGGTTTAAAGTTGATATTTCGATAATCGTTGTTCATTTGCCTCTGCAGGTTATTGGAAGCTTAACAGACATAACTCAATTTGTGTATAGAGAGACACACATTGGGAGCTGTTAGCAGTCTGAGATACTACTTAAGTGAATTTAGTTCAAAATACATGCTTAAGTCATCTGACTATCGGTTTTTTCTTAATTTGATTCTTGGTTTTGACATCCTACAATGCCAAGAGGTGCGCTTTGTTCATAGCTAGCCACTCTATCGCTGCGTTATAACATAGCCCTTATCTTGCATTGCATGTTTACTACCTTACGATAAGTTCTTAAACTCTTGGGTCTTTTGTGTTTACCCGGAGATTACTTCTTCATGTTGAGAAATTACAGTTAAAATACCACATAGGAACATACACCCAGTTTCTGTATGAAAGAGGCAACTTACCATCCCCACCGTTTGTTATTGGGGACCTTGAGAGCCGGTAAATTGCATCTTCCATACAGGAGAGGTTATGGACCCCGAAATAGTGTATTGAATAGATCATAATGAAGTGTTTAAAGATACCTGTTCTGTGCCGTTCTTGTATGTCAGCACATCCTGCAGTTTCAAAAATGATGTGCAATTAAATTACGTTTCTTGTGTATATAGGATGAGAGAGAGAGAGAGAGAGAGAGAGAGAGTATACCAAAGCTCCAAATACTAAAATGTAGAAATCTGTTGGAATTTCATTTTGTAAGATGATGTCAAATTTGGGTGGAAAATATTCTGCTTTCATCTCCGACGCCTGCAATGACAATGTCTCTGGTAAATTGGCAAAACAAAATCCTATTATGGGTTAAGATTCAGGGGGAAGAAAATGTTTATACCAATTGAACAGTGAGGTGCTCAGAGACTCCTTTGAATAGGTAAGTTTTCTCGACGGTTCTGCGGAAGAGATGCTGGGAAATGCTGGATCTGATTGCTTTCGGAAGGTCTTCTAGCACTTCTTCTTGCTGTAACTCTGCTGTCTTGAACTTGAGTTGCATGTGTGCCAGCATTTGCTCTTTCAAGCCTTCTGGGAGCCTGTTCTTCCTTGCGTATCTGAATATTTCATTGATTGCATCCCTCTATATACAAACCATAATTCAACAGAATATACAATTAGTCACCTAAGTTAGTCTTGACCATCGAATCTCTCGTTTATTTAACTGAAATGCTAGTGCTAATCATTCATGTATAGGTAATTTGGAGAGTTGATGGTCATGGTGAGTTTCACACGCATCAACAGTTCAGAATGAGTAAAATTTACCATGAATAAGGTTCGGACAGCGCTATGGACGACGAGATTGGTCATGTTTCCAACCAAATAGGCAAAGAGGCCAATGTTGAATAGCATATAGAAGATGCTGAAGATCTTCTCCCCAGAGTTGACTGCATGCAAGTCGCCATATCCAACGGTGGTGAGGGTGACAGTGGCCCAGTAGATGGAATAGGTGTAACACAACCAGATGCTTTGGTGCTCGAAGTCATTGACTTGTGTTCCAATCCATGTATTCGATAATGTTTTGTGACGGGTGGCCATCCAAAAGTAGAAGCAACCTGCTGAGTGCACCGCAAATAGTGTAACCTGTGCTCATGCATGGGAAAGGAGAGGTTAAGTATGAAACCCGTTACAATTGATCTAACATCCTATCCTATGTTGTCATACTATTAATCAAGACTGTTGATAATTTGAAATCCGGTTTAAATGTGCGATCAACGTAACATATTGGATATCAAATTGTATCAAATAAAGAGAAATGTGCGGTCAACATAACATCTTTGATATCTAACTGTGTCGAACGAAACAGAGCTCAAATAGTAAAATTTGGTGAGTGGAATGATGGAGGAGTGGTGAAGGGAAACTACTTACACAAATGAGTTTGATGTATCTTATCCAAAAGTAACTAAAGCGTGTGTCTTTCTCTAGCCTGCAGGAAATTAATTAAGAGATTAATTCTTGATTAGGATCTAAAATCAAATATGAATTACGTGTGATTAATACATTATGTAGCTAGTTAGGTACCTTTTGAAGAGTTCACTGACGCGCCTAAGACGCCAGAGACGAAGCAAATTGAGGAAGCCAAAGACCTGGGCATAGTGCGAATTGCCAGTAAACATTCTGTATATGAGCTGAAATGGTAGAGTTGAGGCTACGTCCATTGCAAAATATATGCTTGTCACATACCTGTAACCAACAAAGAGGAGATTGTACTACCATCATCATCATTTCTAATTATCTTTGGTAATTGTTAATTAATTCCTCGTTACATATTTTCCAGTATCAACATCACAATGTTGCGTGGTGTTATAAATTCATTAATATTTTAATACGTGTATTATTAATACTTTATCATCATAGGTCCATCAAATATCAATTATATCGTCCATTGATTTAATAACACTATGTAATGATGTCATACTCAAAAATTTCCATCGTGATAGAAAATAGGCCAAGGCCAATTTTGGACAAAAAGGAAAAATTAGAATAAAAGGGGCTGGGCCAAATGGTGCTTTGGATTTTTATGGGCTGCCTGTTCACATGCTAACTGAATCTTATCACGGGTCGCAAGGCTATGGCCTATAATGGGATATAGGGCTAGGCTACCCAAGGGACAATTTTGTTTTTTGTTTTCTTGTAAAAGCATCAAACGGGGCCCAAAGCAAAACGTATTAGGTTAGGGAGGGTAATTGTTAATTGGGAGATTCACTGTTATACCAAATATAGGGGCCTAAATTTAAAATAAAAAAATTCATATATGAAATGAACTTCGGAAACACATCCAAAGTCCATTTACAACATAACAAAGAGGCTTTTAATTTCTTTTAAATTACAAAACTGCTATCGATTTCTTAAAACAAGCCAAATCCCAAAACCTCATAAAAAACCTCAAAACACTCAATAAAACATCAAAGTAATTTAATAATCAAAATTAAATTCAATAGAGTCAGTTGTCATTTTTTTGGGTTTTTTTTTATATATTTGTTTATAGAAATTAAATAATGGAGGGTTTATCTATATTATTAATGCTAAGAATTGGTATATAACTAAATATCTCTTATTAATATGGCAATCATTAATTAACACAAACATAAAAATGGCACGACTTTCTAATAACATTAAGTAAACCAATTTTGACACAACAAATAAGTTTGTCTATAAACTTCCCATTTGTGTTATGTCTTAATCTCATATGTTTTGAAACCATTATTTACATTAATTTGTTTCCATTTGTTTCAACTTTTTAAGAATATAATTTTCCTTCCAAATCTCTCATTAATTTGGATCAATGGATTTAACCTCAAATTAAAAAAAAAACTTTGCATATTAGTATCCACTTAAATCCAAAATCACGTCTTCTTCTATATCATGTTATAAATGGTATCCAATTTTTCTGTTGATTCTTTCCTTAAACTGTAATTTCTGTTTGAGTAAAATGCATTTTTGGTCATTGAGTTTTGCATCAATTTGATCAATGTATTTACTTTTGAAATCGTGACAAAATACAGTAACCAAAAATGCATTTTACCCTTAATGTCTTACCTATTATAACTTTTTTTTTTGGGAAAGTCTGTGGGACAACGCCAAGAACAGTTTAAAAGAGAGCAATCAATTTGGAGACAAATGGGAGCAAATTCAGGAGAGATATATGCATCATACCTCAAAGCAATTTTCTTGTGATCAAGCACCAAAAGGTAAGTTGACTTGTCCAAGTAAGCCACGAAGAACGTTAGGACTATATCAACGGCGAAGAACGCATCCACCACCAAATCAACGGGCATGAGAGACCCCGTTGCCACTTTCTTGAAGGCTAGCTCAAATGGCGACGCCCATGCTGAGTATATCACCAGTAACACCAAGAACGCCTGCCACCACCTGCATCACATTCAAACATACACATCGAATGATCTTTTGCCAGACTCTGAATATATATATATATATATATATATATATCTCGACACGCACGTTGTCAGAC